GCCCGTTTACCTTCCTGTCACAGTGGTACCTATTTATCTACTTGCACTGGCGTGCTTTCGAAACTGCTAAGTTGGCAGGAGCAGGGACAGAGAAACAGGAGCTCACCCTGAGGTAAGGCAAAGGTAAAGGGACCCCTGACCATTAGGTCCAGTCGTGACCGACTCTGAGGTTGCGGCGCTCATCTCGCTTTATTGGCCGAGGGAGCCGGCGTACAGTTTCCGGGTCATGTGGCCAGCATGACTAAGCCGCTTCTGGCGAACCAGAGCAGCGCACGGAAACGCCATTTACCTTCCCACCGGAGCGGTACCTATTTATCTACTTGCACTTTGAGGTGCTTTTGAACTGCTAGGTTGGCATGAAGCAGGGACTGAGCAATGGGAGCTCACTCCGTCGCAGGGATTTGAACCGCAGACCTTCTGATCAGCAAGTCCTAGGCTCTGTGGTTTAACCCACAGCGCCACATGGAAGTCAATTACCCCCCTGATCACATAAGCTCAAAGACAAACAGCTCTGCTGATAACAGCATTGCAATAAAATGTATGCAGGCAAAGGCCACGAAGACACAATAAGAGTTAGCAGATAGGGCTGTATCAGCAAGATTACAGGTCCAGTCTTTCTAGTATGCTAGAGCACTGCGGCAAAAAGCATCCAGTGGGTTTTTGCCAGCTATCCTCTGCAGATGTTTGGGGGGCTTTTAATTGGACTTTGTGTATTCTTTGTGTGTAAACCCTACAAAAAAGTCTCAGCGGACAACACCGGCGGGATCAGACTTTGGGAAATATCCTACTGAATCAGTTAGCTTGCACAAACTAATAAATGCTGTATTCTCTCTCCTCTCCGTCTCCTGTGTCTCATTGGCAAAATCCAGGAAGAACAGGTTTTAGACCTGCAAGAACCCCGCCATGCGAAATCAATCCGCCGACCTTATGATTTGCAAGCCCAAGAGGCTGGGTGGTTTAGACCACAGCGGGACATGTGTCCCTAGTAGTGCTGCTGCACTAGTTGTTAGTTTATAGCCTACATATTTGTTTCATTTTTGTATTTCTTATGCAACTGGGTCTCCTTTCAGACCCAGTTCTCCTTAGCTCTGTCAAGTGTCCCTCGGACCACAACCTGAGACTTGCCACAGCGGAGACAGCCACTCATTTTGGCATCACTTATCTCCACTTCTACTTTTCTACGCCTCTGTCCTCATCATAACAACGAAAGGATGTTTCACTTCACTTCCCCCAGCTTCCCTTTTCCTGAAGCACGCACACCAAACAAACCCATGCGCTGGAAAGAACGAGCTGTTTCTCAAAGTGCAGGTTGGACGCTACATTTACCCACAGGAAACTGAGGCCTAGAGAGTAATCTAGGGCAGCCTCAAAGTGAGACGGCAGTTGAGAGAACCAGCAACTCTAGGAAAGCTGACATGAACGAAGGACCTTTTCTTTCTCCCTGAAGAAAGAAAAGCTCCTAATTCTTGTCAGGCGCGAAGTAACTTCATTTGAGATATTACAGCATTTCTGGTGGGCTGGAAGCTACATGTGAGCCTTGGGCCATTTTCAGGTGTGTCACAGTGTCATGGCCTACCCTTCAGTGCCTCCTCAACCTGTTCCACTTCCTAGCCATCCCACAGCCTTTTTGTTGGAGCAATGCCAGCACCAGCAACTCCTTGGATGCTGAGTAAAGGAGGGTGGGAGCCAGAGAAGTTGGTGGAGGGTCAGGGATGGGGGGAAAGGTCTCCTTCCTCTGAAGAAAAATGTCCAGAGGAGATATTGAAGAAAACTAGGGGGAAATGTTAATATTTGATACCATCATTATTAAGTTGTGGGTGGACATAGCAGACGACACAGAGATTTCTCCAGGTGGTTCTTTATAGTAAGCTGGAACTGAACTGAACTGAACAGCTCAGCCGTCCTGCTTTTATAGGCAGCTGGCTGTCAACATTGTAACAACAACACCCCAGGGTTTCCCGTCTAATTAACTGAAGTGGACCTGAGTGAAAACTATATGCACAATACCCCTGGTGGCCAGGGTGAGAACTTCAATGCATAACAATCATCATCAATAAATCAGCTGGAAACAGAAGAGAAGTGAGGAAAGTTGTAACAGGAGGAAGAAATGAAGATAAAAGGACAAGAGAGGATGGATGAAAGAAACTAGAAGTTTGGGTGTGGTGGTGGAATAAGATACAAGTTAAGTGTGAAAAGAGAAGGGGGGGAGAAATTTCAGGAGACAAGTGAAAATACTTTGATAGACATGTGGGCGTAGGAAGCGAGAAATAGAAAATAAAAATCCTTTTTCCATTTCAGATCCTTCTAAATCAGCAAGTTCTGCCTAAAATGGGCAGGCTGAATCACATTCCCTCCAGAGCAAATGCCTCTATTTAACCTGAGGAAAGCTGAGCTACGCATAGAACTCCTTACCACAAGGAAGATTTTGGAATTTCCAACAATGGAGCGGTGTCTGTAATTTCCATCTGGTTATGTGAAACTCGGCCTACATCCGCCGCCATTTTGTGACCAGCTTTGTCCCTGCAACACCATTTTGTGATTGCTGAGCCTCAATCACTTTCAGTCATTTCAAGGGCCTGGGAGCAGTACGTTTGAGAATCCCCATGTTAGTGTATAAAGAACTAAAAGGCAGGACAAGGTTAGCTGGAGGGCTGCCTTGTACAGTGGTACCTCACAAGATGAATGCCTCTCAAGATGAAAAACTCGCAAGACGAAAGAGTTTTTGGTTTTTTTGAGTTGCTTCGCGAGACGAATTTCCTTATGGGCTTGCTTCGCAAGACGGAAACATCTTGCAAGTTTGTTTCCTTTTTCTTAAAACCGTTACAGTAATACAGGGTGCATTGCTTGAAGAGGTGCAGTTGCGACTTGACTTCGGGGAGCAACTCATAGCACGCGGTGTGGTAGCCTTTTTTGAGGTTTTGGAAGATTTTTTTGAAAAAATTGAAACCGTGCTTCGCAAGACGAAAAAACTTGCAGAACGAATTAATTTCGTCTTGCGAGGCACCACTGTACTTTATTCACTGGCCAGATCACTGTGATACTCTAGCCCTCTTGATTTCCCCCACAGATATACTGTATCTTATTCATTTAGTGTCTACATGAACTACTAAGGCTTTTAGTGTTGCGGCACCAGTCTTTGGAACACTGCTACAATTGGCCCACTAACAACTGCAGTATTTCATCACCTGCTGAAAACCAAGCTTTTTTAGAGATTTGAATTTTTTTTAACATTGGTCATTTGTTCTGTATTTTATGATTTTACAATTTCATGGTGCTTTGGTAATTTCACTGCACACTGCGCTATACAATTAGCAATTCATGACTATTCTTAAGAATAAAATAAAATGCAGATTTTGGCACATAGAATTCTGCTTTTTCCATTGCCTCCCCCCCATCCGCTCCCACCAGTTATCAGTTATTTGTGCTGCACTGCACAGCAAAAGTTGTTTGTTTGTTTTTTGACACTTTGCAAAGCTTCAGAAGCGACTTGTTAACATTCGCAGCAGGACCTCTGCTCATTTGCCTCTAATGCGGTAAATAACTGTTATAAAAAGGAACAGCAACACCCCCGAAGTGTGAGCCTCCGGGTTGTGACCCTAATCGAGAAAATGTAGCTCATTTTTGTTCTGAATTATAGTACTCAAGGGCCGGACACCTTAGGACCTGATTTCTGCCTGGAAAGAAAGGGTAGCAAATTGCTAGTTATTTAATTTGCCGTCATTTTATTTTCTTCTTCCAGGGAGAGGTACTTATGAGATTTTCTGCCTCAGGTGCCAATATAACTTGGCTGGCTTTCAGAATGATGCACCTTGCCACAGTGGTGGCCTCAGGTGTGTGTGTGTGTGTGTGTACCATTTGCTGCTTCACCTCAGGCAACAAAATGACCTGGACAAAGCCTGACCAAGAATGAGGTGTTCTTTAAGAACTTGCCATTCATGTTTTGCCATTAAAACAAATATGTGGGTTTCAAAGTGGGGAACTTGTGGCCCTCCCAAGCTGTTGGAATCCGACTCAAACCAGCTGCCCCCAGCTTACATGGCACATACCGTATTTTTCGCTCTATAAGACGCACCTTTCCCCTCCTAAAAAGTAAGGGAAAATGTGTGTGCGTCCTATGGAGCGAATGCAGGCTGCGCAGCTTTCGCTGAAGCAAAAGCAAAAGCAACACGAAGCCTCCTCAGGAGGCTTCGGGCAGCTATCCCTGAAGCCAGGAGAGCAAGAAGAATCAGTGCGCACTGATCCCTCTTGCTCTCCTGGCTTCGCTTCGCTGGACTGGCGCTGTGAGAGGGAAAGCTGCGCAGCACCTCTTCAGTGAAGCGGCAGGAGAAACAGAGCCCCTTCCATTTCTCCTCCCGCTTTGCTGGAGAGGCACTGAGCAGAGAGGGAGAGAATATTTTTTTTCTTGTTCTCCTCCTCTAAAACTAGGTGCGTCTTATGGACGGGTGCTTCTTATAGAGCGAAAAATACGGAAATCAGATATTGTTGAAGTTGCATCCCTGCAATGTCTGGAGCATGGGTAGGCAAACTAAGGCAAACTAAGGCCCGGGGGCTGGATCCGGCCCAATCGCCTTCTCAATCTGGCCCGCAGACAGTCCAGGAATCAGCGTGTGTTTTTTTTACATGAGTAGAATGTATGCTTTTATTTAAAATGCATCTCTGGGTTATTTGTGAGGCCTGCCTGGTGTTTTTACATGAGTAGAATGTGTGCTTTTATTTAAAATGCATCTCTGGGTTATTTATGGAGCATAGCAATTCATTCATATATTTTTTCAAAATATAGTCTGGCCCCCCACAAGGTCTGAGGGACAGTGGGCTGGCCCCTTGCTGAAAAAGTTTGCTGACCCCTGGTCTGGACGGTCACAGGTCCATCTCCCGGCATTTAAGCAACTGGCTTTAATGAAATGAAAGCACACAAAGGTTTTAAAAGAAAGTAGTGGGCTTTTAACTTCAGTGTCCTTCTTGACCTCAACAGCAGAAGCCACAGACACCCACGGGTCGTTCTCAACTGCATCTACTTTTTTAATGTTTCTCCTCCTGCTGCAAGCACAGATGAATATAACCGCAACTGTACTTGGGGAAGGAGGGATGTCATTTAGCTGCAGTCACACAAAAGGGAGCTGATATGTAAGCAAGATAACAGGAGCAGCTCAGTTTCCATGAGTTTTACGTGGGTGTGAAGAAAGTTTCTCACTCACAGATAGTTCCACTCTCCAGAGTGACAGTTCGGCATGGATGGAGCAGTTGTCTATGCAGACATAAAATTACCTGAAGTTTCCCCACTCGGAAGAAACTTAGATTCAGTTCAGAAGCCAGGTATGTTAAGTTGTTATCAGAGACTTATCTTGAACTGCTTGTGCAAGACGTAGGGGTTGAGGGTAGGACCAGTTTAAACTGATGCAGGAGGGCCCAGGACTCAAACGCAGGCACACATTCATGTTTTGGCAATTGCAAAGTTTCACCATTTGTTTTTATTGCACGGCAAACCAAACTGTGGCACTGTCTCAGCTTACAGCTGTACAATTAAGTGAATAAGTGGTGTGATTTAGTAAAATACTTTTCTTTCTTTCTTTTTGTTAGCTGATACGAATTTTGCCATGTTGAAAAGTTTTTAAAGTTCCTAAATATTGATTATAAAATACATCCATTCTGACGGCACAAGAGAAAAACCATGAGGAAAATGCCCTCTGTTTAGCAGATATTTTTGTCCAGTGCTTTGTTTTCTTTTCTTGTGTTCATCATTTCTTACGCTTTTATTATAACTCAAAAAGCTTGAAATGGGGCAGGCCTCGCCGGATCTGTCAGGGAGCTCAAAATCAATTTACGGAGGCAGATGAAAGTGATGGACTATATGACATTGGCTGAGATGACTGGCAGAATCCGGGACCAGAGGAAAGAGACGACGGAAGAGGACTGGAAGAAATTTAAAATTTATCTTAAAGACTATTATAAACTTGATGAAAGCTAAAATGCCGAGGTGTAGAGAGAAAAAGGGATACAGTGATATAGGTTTAAGTTAAAGGAAAGATTAAGAGAACATATATTTGACAAAAATTATTTAGAAGCTGCTGAAATAATTTAGTAAATTGGGATGCAGAAAGGGGAGGTATGGGGAAGTCCGAGAGATGAGGGTTATGAAAAAAAGGTCATGAAATTATACTTGTTTGTTTGTCTTTTTATTTGTTTGTATTGTTTAAAAAATGTTGTAAAACCAATAAAAAATTTATTAAAAAAAAAACCAAAATCAATTTACGGAAGCATGCTACCCTTTTCAGCCTCACTTAGAGCAGCTTTACACAAGCTGAAGGACGAAATGGGAGAGAATGTAACACTTTCTCACCATGTTTCTGAAGTGGTACCCACTAAAGGGAGGAGGGGATGAGGAAGGTGCTTCTGCATCTGAAGTATGGGACAAAGACTTCCTGCATCATTTCCTGCTGATTCCAAAGAGAACTGGGATAATCTGTGGATAATCCCTTTGTGGTGGGCCAGCACATTTAAACTGAGGTGCAGTAGTGAATTTTTGTTCACAGCCTCACGTGTAAAGAAATGAAGCAATAATTCCCTGTGCTACCTCATGGACTTTCTTTAAATGTAAAGGACTGGTGAACAGGAACTTTGGAGAACTTGCACCTCTTCAACAGATGACCTGATACCATACAAGTTCATATGAGACACACAGACACACACCCCACCGAGAACAGATCAGCATGAGCATAACACCAATTTTTGTGCAATCCAAGATACTTGTTATTATATACAAACTGGGACCCGAACATATTTGCATTGGGAGTATTTTCACTCTTGTGAATTCATCTAAATTTGTTAGAATCTCCAGGAAGACTTGGCAAATGTTGGGGATGTTAAATTGATGGTGATGGAAGCAGAATAATCTCTCTCTCTCTCTCTCTCTCTCTCTCACACACACACACACACACACACACACACACACAGACAGACACACACTCCTGTATCTACTTTGTGGACCTCTCTCCCAGATACTGCCCCTCTGAGCAAATCTCTACCTCCTTTAGAAGGCATGTGGAAACATTTTTGTTTAGATTTGCATGTGTGTGGTGAACTGATTTGTGCTCTGTTGCTTTAAAGATTTATTTTTGTGGTTGACGCTGCTGTGATTTTGCCGAATTTGGTTTTATGTATTTCGTTGTACATTGGCTCTGGAGTTTCTGAGGAAAGGCAGCTGAGAAACAAATGCCTTGCTGCTATTTACTTGCTTGCTTGCTTGTTGGTTTTGTTATGTATTTCTATGCCACATAGGTCACCTGGTAGGAGCATGGGACTCTTAATCTCAAGGATGTGGGTTTGAGCCCCACATGGGGTGAAAGATTCCTACATTGCAGGGGGTTGTACTGGGTGGTCTTTGTGGCCCCTTCCAACTCTAGAATTCTGTGATTCTGGCCAAGGGACATCTAAAATGGCTCACAAAATAACCAGAAAACAAGTACAATAAAAACCCAAACTGCACTAATCAGAGAGCAAAATTTTTAAAAATGTATTAAAAAAATGGCGACAGGAGGGTGAAACAAGGGGGGTGAAAAGGTGGGGGCAGCACTAAATGACCAATGGAAGGAAAAGAAGAGGCAAAGTAGAGCCGGCCCTACCATCAGGCAAAGTGAGAAAAATTGGTTTGCCTCAGGTGCCAAAATATCTTGGGCTAGCCCTAGTTTAGGCAGTAGAGAGTACATCACATTTTAGCATTCAGCTAAAGGATTCTGGGCACAGTTCAATCCACTGGTAACTGTTGGAGGCTGGGCTAAGCAGCCATTTGATCCTCTACAATTCAGTAAATTATCACAGGTGCACACCCAGTTCTTAGTGGTCTCATTTTGGCTCCATTCCTTCTCACCAGTTAAGTTCGCTATTGGAGGCAGAGATGCCTTGCAGGCAAAGAGCCCCTGGTTCATTCTCTGGCCAGATAAGACCCCTACCTGAAGCCCTGAGAGTCATAACTAGACAGACAGTGTGGACAATACTGAACTAGATGGAGTAACAGTCTGAGCTGATGCAAGGCACTTCCTTATGTCCCTATTTCATAGCGGAATTCTCCATCAAGGCCCTGCAATGCAGAGTTAAAAGCTGAACACAGGGCTGCCTTGGAACATTATCCCCAATCTTTTCACCTGCTTTTTTGCAGAACACCAACTGTGCCCACGCTGGCATGGAATTATGCTGCAGGTTGGATGGGCTGGAAACATCATCCTGGTGGCGGCAGTGATAGTGATGGGAGTCTGGGGTAAGTATCATAACGTGAGATTTGCACAAGACTTAATAATGAACTTCCCTGGGGCCCTGGGTGCCCAGGCACACACAAAATTCTCCATGAAGATGCCAGGGACCCACAAATTTCGGTGCCAGGGCCGTGCATGCTGCAGGTCCACTGTCCCTCAGACCTTGTGGGGGGGGCAGACTATTTTTTTTTTGGGGGGGGGAGAGCAAATTCCTATGCCCCACAAATAACCCAGAGATGCATTTTAAATAAAAGCACACATTCTGCTCGTGTAAAAACACCAGGCAGGCCCCACAAATAACCCAGAGATTCATTTTAAATAAAAGGACACATTCTACTCATGTAAAACACGCTGATTCCTGGACCGTTCACGGGCCGGATTGAGAAGGCAATTGGGTTGAATCTGGCCCCTGGGCCTTAGTTTGCCTACCCATGATGTTGACTATGGTCTTCTAAGGAAACATGGCCATTTAAAGGAGATAAACCAATTTGAAAACCTCGTGATAAAGAAACAGAAGCAACAACTTCTTAGTAAGATATATAGCAGAATTAGGAGCGTGGACATATCTAAGAATTCATACCCATGTAATTGTGACAGAGAACTGAGGGGGAAATGTCTCAGAAGAAGTAGACATGGATGCACCCACATATCCTACAGCAGACTCTGTGCCCAAATTTAAAATAAAGATATACAGATCAGTATTCCAGTGGTACCTGAGACCTGTATCACTTAATCCATGGGTAGGCAAACTAAGGCCCGGGGGCCGGATCAGGCCCAATCGCCTTCTAAATCCAGCGCGCGGATATATACAACAACACAGTTTAGATATGGTGGAGGTGCAGAGCACCAAATCAGAAAGTGCTTTATATTTTTTTGGGTCTAGCTATAACATAATGATTTTTGGAAAACTGTAATAAATTAATTAAACTTACAAGAGGCAAAAACATTGCTTTTAAGTTTTGAATTTTATTTTATGCTGTTTTGCTTTATTGTGATTTTTTAAAAACAAATTATTGTTATTTTACATTGGTGATTTGCTCATTTTATAGAGCTGCTTTGAAAGGATTATCCATAATGATTCTAAAATAAATAAAAATATAAAATATCTCGGCCCCTTGCTGACTTTGGAAGGACAACTTGGTATTTGCAAAGCATCTTTACAAATCCCTGTGGAAGTCAGCAGAGCAGCGTCACCCAACCTGGTGCCCTCTATCTTTTGGACTAAAACTCCCATCATGGTCCTGCTGGCTGAGGCTGCTGGGAGTTGTAGTTCAAGACACCTAAAGGACCCCAGAGTAGAGGGCGCTGTGGAGGCTGCTCATCAGCCAGCAGTACTATCAAGCTTTAAACTTACAACATAGTAAAAAAAAACTGCCTAAATCTTTCTCCTCCCCAGTTATAAATAAAACTCCACAGGATCCTGAAAAACAGGTCAAAGCATCGGAATGGTCTCCAAACACAACTCAGTACAGCCCTGCAGGATGTGAAGGAAACAAAGCGTCAGAGGATTTCAGGTCTACTCTGAAAGAAAAATTGTGTGAGACGGGTAAATTCATTTCATAAGTAACTGCGACATGCTTATGCCTTTGATCTGCCTCTGCTACGCTTTCCAAGTAAACTGTCGTTACTAAAAAAAAAAAAATCAATATTCTAAATGTATAGCGACACCTAGTGCTCAGCTCTGGAAAATGCAGCCCTGAAAGAAATTTTCAGCTGAAGTACAATAAGCCCACAACTGAGACAGGGGTTATAGAATCATAGAATCATAGAGTTGGAAGAGACCACAAGGGCCATCGAGTCCAACCCCCTGCCAAGCAGATTTCATGGCTCCTCGGCATCACACTGCAATGCCCCCTCTACAGCTGCCTCTTGACAACTTGAAAACTTATGTTTTCAACATAAAACTTATGTTGGGGAAAAAAGCCATGAAAACTTATGTTGGGGGGAAAAGCAATGAAAACTTATGTTGGAAAAAAAGCCATGAAAACTTATGTTGTGGGGATCATACCTAAAGCCAGAATCACATATAGTCAAAGCACTAAAGTCACTTTTCTCAAAAACCCCGTCCCCTGTATTTTATTTTTTTGCCACACGTGGAAAGCTGGACATGTTAAATGTGTGTAAGTTATGAGCTTACTGCACTGGAGACTGTTTCTATTATTTTAACATTTGGTAGGGCCGGCCCAAGACATTTTACCATCCTGAGGCAAACCACAAAATGGCGCCTTCCCCACCAGGGAAGAAGGGGTGTTTGAAGATCTACTTTGGGAACAAGGGAAAGAATCAAATCAACCTTACCTGAGAGGGGAAGTGGGAATCAAAGGCTATCATGGGGAGGGGGAGGGAAACCCTCTGAATCATGCTGGGTGCAGGTACAGATTAGAAGACCCCAGAGGGCAGCCCCTGCCATTTCCTTCCAGTGGGGAAGACTGGTATTGCGTCCTATTTGTCAAGAGGCAGCTGTAGAGAGGGCATTGCAGTGTGATGCTGAGGAGCCATGAAATCCACCCTCCAATGATTGCGCCACAGTCATTGTTGACACCACGGTGACAACAGTAGTGGGCAATGTATCCTTGGATGCTGGATCTGCTGCACTTATGGATCCGACCACCTGAGGCAGTTGCCTCACCCTGCCCCATGGGTGGGCCAGCCCTGAAACACACATGGCACACAATGCAAGATTAACACCTTTTCCTGCCCAAAGGATTTATATTCTGCATTAGACTGAGGGAAAGGGGGGAACCTGGCATTTGTACTAAGAATAAACTTCCCACAATCTCATTTGATGAGTTTTCAGTTTCTCTGCATTTGTTCTAGAGCAGCCTTTCTCAACCTGTGGGTCCCCAGATGTTGTTGGACTACAACTCCCATCACCTCTAGCTAGCAAAGCTCAGGGATGATGGGAGTTGTAGTCCAACAACATCTGGGGACCCACAGGTTGAGAACTGCTGTTCTAGAGTCACAGGCACTATGGGCGCAATCCTAACCCCCTAGTGTTTATAACGGGGAAGGAGAGGTCACTAGAATGGTGCATAAGGCCTTCTCCACCCATCTCTCCACTGCTGATAGTGCAGCAAATCACAAACTGTTTTGAAAACATAGAGAATTGAACTTAACACGGGAAAAATGAATAACTGAGGGGAGGGAGAATGGAACAACTGCTTATATGTAGCCCTGCTCCCATCCTGAGGTTTGGCTTGTCCTGTGCATATCTTTGGCCATATTCTGTTTGCTGAGCTTCAGTTCTTTGAAACTGACAGAATACCATACATTTACAACTAAAACCCACCAGGACTTCTGTTATTCTCCAGCTAACAATCAATAATATGCAAATAACATCGTTCTGCAAACTGCTGCGAGAGATCTGCTGCGAGAGCACTCATGAAGCTGAATGACGAAAGACTCGCCTGAAAAGTACAGATTGTGTGAGGTATAAATCCAAATTAAAAACAATGGGAATGTTTCTTCTTAGGGGATGGAAGCTGCCACCTGTGCCCCATGCAGTGGCGTCTGCACAAGAATAAATGCTACTGGTTTTCTGAAACGATTCAGTCTTGGGAGAAGAGCAAGGAAGACTGTATAGCCAAGAAGTCTCACCTACTAATAATTGATGATCAGGAGGAAAAGGTACAAAATATTCAATCCAGACAAGGAATTTTTACTCTTTCACACTTTTATCTCTGTTACAGAATGTTTACTCTTTCGCCCTTATTAGTGCGTAAGCCAGCAATGCGAAGGATCGCTGTCAAAATTAGTATACACTACACCATAGTTTTGAAGGGGCACTGAAGTACGTATGGGGGACGTTCACGCTTTGAGATCCATCTGTTCATGTGACTAAACGTCATAAGAGGAACCCAGGTGATCAGGCCAAAGGCTCATCTGAGTCTAGCAGTCCGTTCCCACAGTGGCCAACCACATCCTTGCAAGGAAGCATGTTGCAGTAATCTAGTCAGGAGGTTATCAATGCATGAACGGCAGTGCATGTAGCTACCTTAGATGGGGTAAGATTCAAAGTATTGCTAAGAAGATCAGGCCATCAGTGCAAGCATCTTTGCTTGCCTAATGGAACTATCTCGCCCTCTCCTCCTCCCCCCATGTGATGTTCTGGGGTTCTCCTGACACCCAGAGCCAATTTGGGGGAGGAATGTGGGGCCCCAGGAGGAGGAGAGGGGGAAATTCCCATTGCACAAGAGAGAGTCATTGCACTGACACCTACTAATGCAGTTATTGTGGGAATGTCGAGGAAAGTAGGAGAGGATATCTTGATTAAATATTATCCCTCCTCACTAGTGAGTAAGCAGCAGAGCACATTTCCTTGCACATTGCTGGAAGCAAGTTGATGGATTCGTTAGAATCATTTAAGTTAAGCGATCCAGTCTGGCTTGCCCAGTCTGGAATGTTCCTGGTAAGTTTCCCCTCCTAAAATAATAATAACACAACAGTCATCTTTAAAAATAAGAGTAAAGTTCACTTACATTCAGTTCATAGTGGTAAATCTGAAGGCAGGCTTTATCTTGTGGTTACAGTTACATTTGGAGAGCAAAGACGTCTGAGCTGTAGACTTTCTACCTTGTGGCTTCCATCCTCTGTAAGGATGAGCCCTGTAAGAGCCAGAAGAGGAGTCCCAAAGGAGAAAATGGAAAAGGGGGAGATGGCTGTGTGGCTAGACCTTTTGTAGGGTCTGCTAGGGTCACGCCCATCTACCTGGTCACACACAGGGGGAGGAGGCTCCAGAGCACGTATGACAGGAAGTCCTCCCTGTCTGGAGCAACGTTCCCCGGTGTGTCCACTCTAATAATAATAATAATAATAATAATAATAATAATAATAATAATAATTTATTATTTGTACCCTGCCCATCTGGCTGGGTTTCCCCAGCCACTCTGGGCGGCTTCCATAGAAACCAAAAAACACTAAAATATCATACATTAAAAACTTCCCTGACCAGGGCTGCCTTAAGATGTCTTCTGAATGTCAGGTAGTTGTTTATCGTTTTGACATCTGATGGGAGGGCGTTCCACAGGGCGGGTGCCACTACCGAAAAGGCCCTCTGCCTGGTTCCCTGTAGCTTTGCTTCTTTCAATGAGGGAACCGCCAGAAGGCTCTCGGCGCTGGACCTCAGCGTCCGGGCAGAACGATGGGGGTGGAGACGCTCCTTCAGGCAACAGGAAACGTTGCATTTGACTGCTTCAGTGAGGATACATCCCAAAGCTGTTTGGTTGAATCTGACCCATTAGCCAAAGCTGATTTACCAGCCAAAGCTGATTAAAAGGCACTCCTTGCCACAGAGGCCACCTGCACCTCAAGTGACAACAGTGGATCAAGATGTAGTACCTCCAAGCTACATACCACTGGTCTATTCCCTGGATCTGAGAACCACTCACCCACAAAGCCTCTGTATTCCCAGGGCATAAACTGCGGAGAGGGTGTTGGGGGGAAATATCAAGGAGGCGGCATCCTTGTCCTCATATCAACCTGAAAGGGGAAGCCCAAAGAGAAGTTCCCTGTTATGTTTCTTCTTCAGGGCTGCCTCCTCAGCACCAAATTGTAGGCGGCAGACTGCTGGACTAGGCAACCAGCAATTTCTGGCTCCATGACCTAGGATTACCCACAGCTGCAAAAGAATTTAAATGCTTCTCACTCAAGCAATAGACCTCACTGCAAAAAATAATAATAATATGGGCATGTGAGGGCTTTCGGGACTTGTGAGGGCAGGTGTATGTGCTAAGAACTATTCCCGAGCTCCCCGTCCACCACACAGTAAGATCTTTGCCTGGGGTCCACATCCTCTTGGCCTTTTTTCTGGGGGTGCTTTTTCTAGGCAGTACGTAGGGGTATGCATACCCCTGAACATTTTGTGAATCTAAGTTTGGCCTCATTGAGGGGCAGTATTTCAATACGAGTAGGAAAATGAGAGTATCCCTAAACATTTTTTAAGAAAAAAGCACTGTGTTTATGTAATTAAATCATATTTTATAGGAATTCATCCAGAAAAATGGGAAATTAGTATGGATTGGACTTATTGTGTCATTGCCAGAGAAGAAATGGATCTGGATCAACGGCTCTTTGTTACAGGAGAAATTGTGAGTACTGAAACACCCGTGTAGGAGAAATTGTGCAAATCAATAGTTTTGCATGATGAACTTGCAAGAAAAGCTACGATAAGGAAAACTGTAGACGTTACCATGGCTATATAGTGGTACTTCTGGTTGTGAACGGGGTCTGTTCCGGAGGCCCGTTCACAACATGAAAAGAGCACAACCCGCAGCAGTGTGTCTGTGTATGCGCAGGTTGCGATTCGCCACTTCTGCACATGCGCATGATGTTATTTTGCACTTCTGCGCATGCGCGAGCAGTGAAACCCAGAACGTAACATGAAGCAGATGTAACACAAGGTATGACTGTACACTTCTTAAAGGTATTGCAGCTCTGCTCATTTTTACTACATAAAGCATATAGCAAAGGGTCTTATAGCACCTGAAAGACTAAGAGCCCAGTCCAAAATTGCCTCCTGATACATCAGCCCTGTTGAATTCAGTGGGGTTACCTTGTTCAACACTTTCATTTCTTTTCATTTTCTTATATTTCTGTTCCATCTTTCTTCCATCATGTAAGATGCCATTCCTCCATCACATGGGGTTCCCAGGCAGTCATTCGTCCAGGTATTGACCAGACCTTGACCTGCCTAGCTTCAGCAAGACCTTCAGGGCATACTGAGGAATTTCAATGTACAGTGGTACCTCAGGTTACATACGCTTCAGGTTACAGACTCCACTAACCCAGAAATAGTACCTCGGGTTAAGAACTTTGCATCAGGATGAGAACAGAAATCGTGCTCCGGTGGCACAGCAGCAGCAGGAGGCCCCATTAGCTAAAGTGGTGCTTCAGGTTAAGAACAGCTTCAGGTTAACCTGCTCTGACCATAATGCCGTGAAGATGGAGATGAAACTAACACCAACTGGCTCTTTTAGATGGAGGATGAATGACACCTTATTTAGAGATGAAGAAGTGATTAAGAAGGCCCAAAAAACCTTGAGGGACTATTTTGAGATAAACATGAACACTACTGTTGAAAAAAGAGTAATCTGGGACGCAAGTAAAGCGGTTATGAGAGGGTTTCTGATACAACAGAATGCAATAAAGAAGAGAACCCAAAATGCGAAGAAAGACAAAATTTTGGAGAAAATAAAAGAAGGTGAGAAAAAATTGAGAGCAAAACCAAAGTCGCAAGAGATTTTGAGAGAAATAAAGTTATATCAAGTACAATACATGACAATGATGAATCAGGAAATAGAATGGAAAATTAAACTAATGAGACAAAAAACATTTGAGTCGGCTAATAAATGTGGGAAATTGTTGGCCTGGCAAATGAAAAAAAGACAAAAACTAAACACTGTTATAAATCTAGAAGTGGAAGGAAAGAACATACAGAACCCAGTTGAGATTAGAAAATGTTTCCAGAGGTACTTTAAACAATTATATACGCAAGGGCCACAGAAAGAACTTGATATAGATCGATTTTTGAAAATAAATGGATTACAAAAAATCTCTCAAGAAAATAAATTAATGTTGAATTATAAAATAACTGAACAGGAGGTAGAAGGTGCCATTCAGAATATGCAATTAGGTAAATCTCCAGGACCGAATGGACTGACTTCTAGATATTACAGATCTTTAAAGGAATGGTTAGTACAACCTTTCAAGGAAGTCTGTAATGAAATATTGGAAGGGAAAAGGGCACCAGAGTCGTGGAAGGAAGCGTACATCACACTTATACCGAAAACAGAGACTGAAAAGACACAGCTCAAGAACTACCGCCCCATATCACTGCTGAATGTGGATTATAAATTTTTTGCAGATATTTTGGCTACAAGACTAAAAAAAGTGCTAGTGGAAGAGATTCATAAAGATCAAGCAGGCTTTCTCCCGGGTAGACACTTGTCTGATAATATGAGAAACATAATTAATATTTTAGAAAAACTACAAGTGAATATCAATACCAAGGCAGTTTTGATATTTGTGGACGTGGAGAAAGCCTTTGACAATATTTCTTGGAGTTTTATGAAGAAGAATCTACAGGGGATGGGGGTAGGTCAAGGTTTTGGAAATGGTATAAGTGTGATTTATTCTGAACAAAAGGCCAAACTAATTGTTAACAATGTGGTGACGGAGGAATTTAAGATAGAAAAAGGGACACGACAAGGTTGCCCAATCTCTCCACTGCTTTTTATATCGGTCCTGGAGGTCCTGTTGAATATGATTAGAAGGGACCAATTGGTTAAAGGTATACAAGTCGGAGCTAAACAGTACAAATTGAGAGCATTTGCAGATGACTTAGTATTGACATTACAGGAGCCAGAATCTAGTACTAAAAGAGTTTTGGAACTGATTCAAGAATTTGGTCAGTTTGCAGGATTTAAATTGAATAAGTTAAAAACTAAGGTTTTAGAGAAAAATTTAACAGCAATTGAGAGAGAGAGGTTTCAGAACGAGACAGGCTTAACAGTGGTTAAGAAAGTGAAATACCTGGGGATTAACATGACAGCTAAAAATGGGAATTTATTTAAAGACAATTATGAAAAATGCTGGACGGAAGTGAAAAAAGATTTAGAAATCTGGTCAAATTTGAAGCTTTCACTGCTAGGCCGTATAGCTGCGATAAAAATGAATGTATTGCCTAGAATGTTGTTTCTGTTCCAAACACTGCAAATTTTGGATAAAATGGATTGTTTCAAGAAGTGGCAGAGAGACATTTCTAGATTTGTCTGGCAGGGCAAGAAGCCTAGAATAAAATTTAAAATACTAATGGATGCAAAGGAAAGAGGTGGATTTGCCCTGCCAGACCTTAAACTTTATTATGAATCAGCAGCTTTTTGCTGGCTGAAAGAATGGCTGCTTCTTGAAAACACAGACATTTTGGATTTAGAAGGTTTTAATAATGTATTTGGATGGCATGCATATCTGTGGTATGATAAGGTCAAAGCACATAAAGCATTTAAAAACCATATTGTCCGGAAAGCATTGTATAATGTCTGGATAAGATACAAGGATTTACTTGAAAATAAAACCCCGAGGTGGTTGTCACTGATGGAAGCGAAGGCTCAGAAAAAGCTCAATATGGAGGCCAAATGGCCGAAATATTGGGAAATTTTGGAACAAGAGGGAGACAAATTGAAATTGCAGAGTTTTGAAAAACTAAAAAATAAAGTGCAAGATTGGCTTCATTATTATCAGATAATGGAGGCATATAATTTGGACAAGAAAATTGGTTTCCAGGTGGAAAAATCAAAACTGGAAACAGAATTGTTAGATCCCAAAACCAAGATTTTGTCAAAGATCTATAACTTGCTGTTGAAATGGAATACTCAGGATGAAACGGTGAAATCTGCCATGATTAAATGGGCACAAGATGTTGGACATAATATTATGATGGCTGATTGGGAACAGTTATGGACCACTGGTATGAAATTTACGGCATGTAATGCCTTAAGAGAGAATATTATGAAAATGATATACAGGTGGTATATGACCCCAGTCAAGCTTGCAAAAATCTATCATTTGACCGATAATAAATGTTGGAAATGTAAAGAGACTGAAGGTACATTCTTTCACCTTTGGTGGACGTGCCCAAGGATTAAGGCTTTCTGGGAGATGATCTATAATGAAATGAAAAAGGTATTTAAATATACCTTCCTGAAGAAACTAGAGGCCTTTCTCCTGGGCATGGTCGGCCAATTGGTGTCAAAGAAGGACAGAACTTTCTTTATTTATGCGACTACAGCAGCAAGAATACTTATTGCAAAGTATTGGAAGACACTCTGGAAGAATGGCAGATGAAGGTGATGGACTATATGGAACTGGCGGAAATGACCGGCAGAATCCGAGTCCAGGGAGAAGAGTCGGTGGAAGAAGATTGGAAGAAATTTAAAGACTATTTACAGAAACACTGCAAAATTAATGAATGTTAGAATGACATTGGATTGAAGTTAAGCAGTCTTTAGTAGTAATGTTATAAAGGAATATGTAAAATGGTTTGTTAACAGGTGATAATATAAAGTAAACTATATATTAAGATAAAAGATTAAGATGAAATCAAAGAGGGAAAGGATTTGCTGAATTAATT